ACAGATTCCCAGTGCAGATGGATCAGAGTTTCCAAATGTCCGAAATCCGATCAGAAGGTCAAGGTAAAGATCGTGAATCACCCGCACCGTTGGGCGGAAAGGCGACAACTGCCACAGGCCAAGGCCATGGCGTAAATCGTATATCTTGCGTTGGCGTCTCTATTCATGAGTAGTGGGGGAAAGGGGGGAGGGGCATGTGGTGCCATGGCGTCTAAGATGCAATCGGCCGGCCCTGACGTCCCTTCTTAGGGACCGTCGTCCAGCCATCGTCGTCCTTGGTAGGACCGTCCTCGGCACCGCCAGGGGTGGGCGGCTCCGACTGACCAGAACCGTTGGTGCGAGGTCCTCGTCCCTCCTGGCGGCCGCCTCTGGGGGCACCACCGCCACGACCACGGCCTCCACCGGGTCCTCCACGGTAGCGGGACTCGCTCGGTCCTGAGGAGCGCCAGTTACCAGCGTCGGCAGCCCTCGACTTGTAGCCCTGACCACCCTCGCGGGGCTCCCTGGGTTCCCGGGGCTCGCGGGTGCGGACGGGGACCTTCTGCTCGGCAGTTGCGCCATTCTCAGCTGCAGCGTCTCCCGCCTCCTTGGTCTCTTGGGCCTTTGCCTCAGCCTCAGCCTCAGCCTCAGCCTCAGCCTGTGCAGCCTCCTTCGCTTCAGCCTCCTTCGCTTCAGCCTCCTTCGCTTCAGCCTCCTTCGCTTCAGCCTCCTTCTTGGCTTCGGCTTCCTTCTCGGCCTCGGCCTCAGCCTCAGCCTCAGCCTTGGCTGCCGCCTCCTTAGCCAGACGGCGCTCCTCCTTGGCCTTCTCATCAGCTTCACGCTTTTCGCGAATGGCCTGTTGGCGCTTCTCTTCGACCTGCTTCTCGCGTGCCGCCGTATCAATAGGACGCGCGGCTCCGAAGGGGCTAGCCTTGGCATCGCCACCCGTGGGGGACAGAACGTCGGTGGCCTCGGAAACAGTACGCTTCTGGAGGTTCAGACGAGGGCGGCCCACTGGCGCGGCGGGAGTAGGGACGGGTGAGGTGGGGGTCTCAGCACCCTCCTGAGTGGGAGAGGTAACGTCAGGAGCACGCATGCGATCGCGCCACTGGAAGTCCTTCTCGGCAGCGGTGGGTGCCCGCTCGGGCTTGGGGGGTCGAGCAGGGTCTTGCTTGCCCTCGCCCCAGGCGGCGGGAGATCCACGGCGGTCACCACGGCGAGATTCACTGCGCTCGCCCATGCCGTCGGGGGCAGGTCGGGGAGGACGGCTGCCATCACGGGGTCCAGCACCACCCTCGGGCTGGGGGAGGGGAGAAAGAGGACCGCGACGCTCCCAGGTCATCTCGCGAGCAGCCCGGGCCTCGGGGGCAGGCTCACGGGGAGGGCGACGCTCGCGATCACCAAAATCGGAGGGCTGACGTCCACCTCGGTTGGGAAGATCTGGAAGGGGTCCTCGACGAGTCCACTCGCTCAGGTCACGGGCAGACTCGCTTCGAGGCTCCATTCCTCCACGGGCTACAAGAATGTTAGTCAAGCTCATGAGGACATAGGAGAGAGTAAGACGTACGAGGATCAGCGATCTTGATCTTGATCATACGGCCTTGGAAGGACTGGCCATCCAGGGTCAGGGCCTGCTTGAGGCCTTCGACGTTTCCAAATTCAACATATCCGAAACCCTTGGGGCGCTGCATCTCGCGGTCCTCGATGATTCGAACGCTGGCGACATCACAGCCCTCGAAGAACTCGGTCACAGTCTCGACCGTCGCATCATAGGAGAGGTTTCCCAGGTGCGCAGTGAAGGGGGGCTTATCGGGGATCTTTTGGGGGAGGTTATCGCGCACAGACGAGTAACCTCGATCCTGCCAGCCGGAGCCACCGCTGGGACGAGAACGTTCGCTCGGTGGGAGTTGCTGGGTACCTGGGGACAGTCAGCATCGCAGGCCGGGTGCGGCGAGATGGTGTTACGGGCGCATACCAGTAACTGTGAAGATGTTAGCCATCCATGTCGGTGTGTATGTGTGTATGTACAGCGGGGAGGTTGCTTACCATAGGTCTCTTCGACCTCGTCAGCCCACGAGCCACCACCACCACCAAAACCTGCCCCTCTTGTTAGTACACCGAAAGTGGCCAAGGCAACACAACACAACGCCAGTGTTGACACATATGATGATACTGCTGCACAGCATGCAGAGTTGGGATGCGATGCGATGCGCAATGGGATAGAGCCCCGCGACGCAAAGCAAAGCAAACCAAGGGTCAACCACATGCCAACCCTGGGGTGGCGTGGGCATGGAGGGGTGCCAAGACTAACCTGGTTCATTCAGAAAGTCCCCCAGGGACATCTTCTGCTGCTGCTCTTTCTTCTTGGGAGCTGGAACACCATCATGGTCAGCGCTGCTGTGGGATGGGCATAGGGTGCGGCTGCGGGGGAGGGGTGACGACGAACCCATGTTGGCGGTATTGCAGGCGGCCACGCGCAACGGATTCTGGGACCGATGCGCGTAGACGTTAGATGAGGCTGGAGCCGGACCTAGCAGCTCCTCCTCAACAGGGAAAGAATCGAAGGGGGGATATCGAGCGCCTGGCGCTGGAGATTTCGCAGAGGTCAATTGACGAGTCGAGTCGGCGGACGTCGAGGGCAGCCGGGGAGAATCGTGGTAGAGAACAGGACCCCGACAAGCGTTACAGTGTCTGGGGTTGGGTTGGAGGAGACGAAAATTACTCTCGCTGTAGGGAAAAAAGACGACTGAGGCATTCAAGTTTGTGAGGGTTCTTAATTTTCACCGACCAGGAGTGGGTGGCGCTAGACCCGTTTGGTATTAGCCCGCCGTAAAGTTGCCATTCTACCTTTTTGTGTTGCCCATTATTATGATTTTATCGTTTTGCCGCCTGCCAATTGGTGCCTCTATTCGAACCTTGACACACTGCACTGCCCTGAATACATAGAGCCAGCTTGACTCCCCTCATGATTTGACGGATAATCCCAATACGCTCTGCGCCCTGCTCCTCCTTCAGCCAATACTGAGCGACTTTTAGGCGGAAAAGGTTGCCGCTGCGTGGACCAAAACCCACACACGGCGCGGCTCTCACTCGACGTATCGCATTGATTGGCTGGTAAGGAGGCACCAAACCAGGCAGGCAAGCAGGCAGGCAGGCATCTGTCCTCCCTCACCCACGGCCCTGCTGTTGGCCTGCAGAGGAGACTGGACAAAGCCCCACGCGCCGCACCATTCCGTGAGATCTGTTCATTCATTATCTTGACAGCTATCGACAATCGCCCATCATGAGTGATGCCAGTGTGCCTCCCTCGGAGCCTCCCAGGCGACGCCAGGGGCGAGGCTTACTGCCCCCTACAGTCCTGGAAGTTGTGACTCCTCCCCTCGAGGTTGCAGCCTGGTCCGGTAAGCCAATGATGAGCCAGTCTGTTATGGATCGAAGCTCACAAGGATACTTTAGGTGCTGCCGGTGCAGTAGTGGGTGTTGGAATGGGTATTGCGACAGAAACCAGCCCACTCCTCAATGCCTTGGTGAATGGCACTCATTGGCTCAAGTTGGGAGGCAGTTATTGGTGTAGGTTTCACTGGCTGCCAACACTCGTGGTGCAACCAAAAGGCTGACTGGTGACAGTTGCACGAACAATCGGCATGCGATATTATGGTGGTGAGGAACGGGTCAAGCCGATTGACAAGACTTTGGTCAGCACCATCTCGGGTGCTGTTGCCGGCGCCTTTGTCAGTATCACGCGTATGGCTCCGTGGCATTGGAAATGGAGGCGGCTTCTAACGTGCTCCAGACATTTCTACTATCAAGTCCACCACGGCAATGTGGGCTGTGTTTGGCGGAGTTGGGCAGATGATTGCCAACAAACTGACTACGCGCAGGGAGAAGTTGGCGGGTGAAGACCCCAGCTGGATGAACTCCCAATGGGTTCCGTTGAAGAAGTTATCGGACCAAGAGTACAGTCACATGCTGGAAGAGAAGATGCTTCGATTCGACGCAGACATTGCTCTCGTCGATGAACGCATCGCAGAGCTCCAACGCCTCCAGGCAAAAAATAAAACAGAGACGACGAAAGACCAAGGCGCAAAGTAAGGCGTCCCACGTGTCCGACACGGTGGAACTGAGCTCGCTGCTCACAGCTGTCGTGTTTTGAGAATTGCCTGAGACGGCTCTCAGTCCGCAGCACCATGCTGCATTTTGGAATACCACCCATATGGATGCAAGATATCCTTAGCAGTGTAAAATAGTGTAACGACATGTACAAGAATACCAGCCAGCGCTGCATCAAGTGTTCCCATTTGAAGCGTGGTTGACACCATTTCATAACGGCCTTGAACAACCTCGTATTGCCTTGGTCTATGTCTACGACGCGGAAAGATCAGCACTCTCCTGTTGATAGACGCAACCATTCGGCAACCTACTCCGACTAAAGCGCAACACGAATCGGCATCCTTGGTCGATAGCAGCACCGTGCTTCAATGGCTATTTAAGGTGGTGGGTACGGGAGTAGATCATGAAGCTAGACACAGACTTCTTGGCACTGTCGACACATTTGCCATTTAGGTCCAACTCCAGAAGAAACAGCCATCATCTTCAGCAATGACCAGGATATGATGGCAGACGACATCATCAGCAAATAAGAAAAGTACACAAACAAGTATCGTGATTCAAACCCCCGACAGACTTTCTGGCTTGGGTTGTGGCAAAAGTGCGATTGCCTCTAGTCTAGCCCTCCACATACAGGGTAGTGATTTTGGATAGTTGAAGAAGACTTGTCATACATTGAGCCCGACTTTATTTATTCGACTTGGAAGTTTGTCAGCCACAACAGCCTTGGGGGGCTGGCGCAACGGTAGCGCGTCAGATTCCAGAAATTGGAATATCCTGAAGGTTACCGGTTCAAATCCGGTGTCCCTCAAACGCCAACAATTTACTTTTTGGATTTTTTGGATTTTTGTCGGGTTTCTCCCATTTCTCCTCACTGCCCTTATGCTCGGATTCTGTTCACCCACGATCATCAAGGGGGGCTGGCGCAACGGTAGCGCGTCAGATTCCAGAAATCGGAATATCCTGAAGGTTACCGGTTCAAATCCGGTGTCCCTCAATATACGAACAGCTTCGGCTGTCTCTTTTTTGTTGGTTTCTTGTATTCATGTCTTTTTTTGCTGGTTGTTGCGTCGCGTTGAGTGTGATACTGGCCTGAAGGCTAGAAGCAAGGTCTTGGGGACGGACGATGGCTTCGTACTGTATTTTTTTTCTTAGTGTTGTGTACCTGGTTGATCAGGTCAAGATGACTGATGTCTCCCTAAAACCCATACGGGTCCAGATCCCACCAGGGGTTCGTTCTTATGCTGCCGGGGAAAACAGGGTGCTCTGTAAGGGGGACAATTAATCATCCATGGCTGCTAGAGGAAGCTGGGAGACTTCCTGTGTTGATATGTATGTAGGTACATGTGCGAATTTCCCTCCAGGGCCGCGAGTTCATCATCCATTATTACATGTAAGGTAAGCTAGAGTTAGGTCAATTAATTACTTTAGTCCTGGTGATCGTCATAAGGAATGGACCGAGCTGCGGGTAAGGCAGATCGTTGCCAGAGCCGCCGAGCGAGCGAGCAAGCAAGCAAGCAAGCAAGCACGTCCACCGTGTTTCCTGGAATGGTTGAACAATGAGAATTGAAGCCAATCACGAAACGAGTGTGACATGACTCTTTGGTTGAGCGGCTCTCATTTACCCCTCCAGGCTCTGTCCAGGGCTTGCCGTTCAGCTGTGGGGGGCCTTTAACAGTGCAGTGCGTGCGCGTGCAGTGGCCTCGGCTGCCCTCCAGCTGATTTCCGGTTTGGTCGGGTCTGACTTGCTGACTTGGCTGTTCAGTGCCCTCGGTGTTATCTTCCAACCTCTCTTCTATCTTGGCTTCCGTCAGACGCAGACCTCGACTCCCGCGCCTTTCCCCCTCTCTCCGTGGTATTTCCCTCGAGGCATCCCTCGTCGCCACTCGCGCCCTCGAATCGACTCGCTGCCCTGGCTCCGCTGCGTCTAGTGGCGTCTTATCTCATTCCTCCCTCATACACCCAGGTCGACAAACAAGCGCTCTCAATCCCGTTTGTGGCCAGCTGCGAAACCGACGTCCGACACCCTCCGGCGCACACAGCATTTCTCGCGATCTAATACAGTACCTCTGACCATACCGACCGTCGACGCCAAGACTCCCTACCAGGTGCAACCGACAACGCCACTTCCAATGCCGCACGGCAGTAGCCGTCTCCTAGCCTCTGCATGCGATCTCGATCCCTCTGCATTTCTCTGATAGCATGGAACAATAGTTCAGTTGCAGTTACTCTGACGTGAGCGCTCTTCAAATCTCTTGCGGTGTATGCCATCTAATGCAATGCGCGCAGCCGGCTTGCTGGCTTCGGCTTGTCCGAGCCTCCAGCACCATGACGCTCCCTAGCCCGACCTTTGTATTCGGCCTCCTTGTCCTATTCTACCTGTCGTCCTTTGTTGTTTTCGCGATTGTTCGAATAGCGACCGGTGTATCCATTCAGCGCATCGGCTACTTTTCCATACGCCGTGTCAAGTACACGCCCCGTGATGGCTGTACCCTCGAATTCCGTGGCATCGGCCTTAACATACATCGGCCGACATTCTCCCAGCCCACCTGGCTCAGTATCGTTCTGACCGAAGTAGCTGTCACCCTCGATATCCGCGAGCTCGAAGGAAACAAGGCGGCTGTTGGGGAAGAAGAGGAGGAGGAGGAGGGTGATGCAAGAGACGACAGACACGATCCTGATCATGGCCGTCGCCACAAGAAGCGCACACCAAGCCGCAATACGTCATCGATAACTCGCAGCGAGACATGGAAACGGTTGACCAATATCAAGGAGAAGATCAAGAAACTACATCGCAGAATCGACTGGCTGCGCATGGTCGACGTCGTTGCCAGGGACTCGACCCTCACAGTACAGGATGTCGGAAGTGTTCAAGTTGGAACCTTCACCATTGCAGTCGATACGAGAACAAAGATGGTCGACAGGGCCCGACTCTTCTTCCAGAGGTCGCAAGCTCAACGGCGCAAGCGCCAAGCCGAATGGATCATCACGTTGCGCAGTGTGCTCTTTACTGCCGAGGGCAATGAGTCTATCGAGGTCCTGGACCACATCGTCCTGAATATCCATGGCTTCTTGTATGAGGGTCGAGATGGATTGAGAAACGCCACCATTTCGTTGAAATTAGGCAGAGTTCACCTGCCTGTCGACGACATGCTACTGTGCGCCCACCGCTACAAGCAGTCTCGCAACGCCGCGAAGCCAACCGATCCGGAGGAGCCCCTTGACATCTTCTTGGGCGGCGTAATGCAGGAGGTAGAACAGCCCGGAAGTACCAATGAGGATTTGATGCGCACAGTATCCGACTCGAAAGAGTTCTTCAGCTCTATACTTCGCGGAATCAAGGAGGTTCAATTCGCCGTCAGCTCCGTTGGCCTCACCAAAAAGGTCGAGTCCATCCGATCCGCGGCATCCCCGATCCTGCTCAATGCGACGATGAAGGAAGTCGGCATTGATCTCCATCGATTGGACCCCAAGTCGCCCGCCCACCGCATGTACTTCCCCTCCAAAGACATTGCCCACGAAGCGCTGGCCGCCGCCTTGTCGATCTCTGTCGGGTTGGATGACGGCCACGGGAGACCGGAGAGGATCGTCTACATACCCATGGCTACAACCACAGTCAGGACCACCCTGCCCTCCAAGACGGTGGAGCGCACTTCAGATGAGAGTCTCGAGGGCAAGAACGCAAATATTCTTTTTGCCAACTCGGTGGTTACGTCCCCATCCGTTGATCTGGACCCTCGTCACCTACCGTTGCTCATTGCGCTTCTTCAGCCCAAGCCCAAGCCCAAGCCCAAGAAGCCTGCAACACGGCAAGAGAGGCGCCATCTCATCTCAAGACTTCTTCCGAAGGCCAACATCAAGTTCTCCATGCACGAGCCTGTATTAAGAATCAAGCTCAAGCCCCTGAAGAAGACCGACGATCCCGATGACTATGACCTCATTATTTCCTCCATCTCCTCTATATCTCTGGATATGGAATCCTCTCACTCCGTAGTGGAGGACCTGCATTACTCGCTCGATGGCGCGCTCAGATTGCAATCCCACCACCTGTACTACCAGACCAATTTTGACGAGCGCTTCAACCTGATCACAACCGAGTCCTTCGACATGAAGGTGCACCTGGCCGCTCGACCCGATGTATCTGTAGATGCTTCGGGGAACATCCAGTCTTTCTCCATCAGTATGGTCAGGCCCGAAATAACAGACGGTCTTCGCCAGATTGTTCGGGAGTTGCACATTGATGTCGAGCCGGACAAGCGTCGGGTATCTAAGACGTCGGGGCAAAGGAATTTCCTGCGATCAATGCCAGATTGGCTGCTGCGATATCATATCGAGGCAACGGACTTTAACGTCGAAGTCGCCGGGATCGATGAAGATATCTCGGATGACACCCGGGGGGTCTCGTTGCATCTGGATCATTTGTCTGCCGAGTATCGTGCCCAGCGGATCGATGGGCTTCAGCGCAGGACGCTGGGAAGACGATCGCACAGCCGGTCGTTAACACAGTCCGATTCGGAGGCGATGGACTCATCGGCTTCCTCCAAGATCAAAAAGAAGACGCAGATGCCGGGTGATGGGCGCAAACTCGTGCTACACGCGCGAGGCATTGATGCGCAAATCATGGGAAGCGCCGACAATGCCGAAGCTGAGCCCTTCGTTACCGTTCCTCGTCTTGAGCTCGCCTTCTCCGCCTCCAGCGATAAGCATGGCCCTCTATTCAATATCCAGACCACGGTTAGGTCCATCATGATGCAATACTCATTATATCGGCATTATGCAGTTGGAGTAGCCGTCATGACACTTCGAAAAGCGTTCATGAAGACGAACCGTGACAGCCGTCCGAGACCACGACAGCAAGGGACCTATTTAAGCCCAGACCTGATATCACCAGACCGGGCATCGTCAAGCACCTTGGCCTCTACCCTCGCGCCAGAGCTGACAACCATCGATATAAAGGCGGTTCTTGTCCAGATAAAAGCAGATTTCCCTCACGAGCCGCGGATGATGCTTCACCTATACGGGCTAGAGACTGGCCAAAATCGATGGGCAACTCCATTCTTGACATCAAAACTTGTGCGAGTCTTTGTTGAGGCTCCGCGAATGCAAAATGTATGGGCGAGGCTCCTCAGCATCAAGTCAGCTCGCGTTGATCTCCGGGAAGCGAGACGCAAGACATCTTCTGGGGCGTACGTCGAGGAGAAGATGGTTGACGTCAACGGAGACGCTGTACGTTTCGCCGTCTCCCATGAGGTCATTGTCAACCGCATTACCGATAATATTGTCAACGTGGTCAAGTCGGTCCAGCAGCTTCATCACAGATTCAAGACGGGAACCAACGAATACATTCTCGACAAGAAGCCAGAGGGGCCGAAGAAGGTGCCCAAGGTTTCTTTTAGGGCTAGGAATTTCCTTTTCGAACTCGAGGATGGCGCTTTCGAGTGGAAGCTCGGTATGATTTACCGGACTGGAAAGATCGAGCAGATACAGCGGATTGCCCGCGAGGAAGCTTTCGAGATGAAGATGAAGAAAATTTGGGAAGAAGAAGTGAGGCATGGCGGCCACAAACTACGTTCACGCTCCACAGCAGCAGTACGGGGACGCACCGAGGCAGGGTCCTCCTCTTGGTTCCGAAGCCGCAGTGAAGACTCGGATAGGAACCACCGTCGCCAGGGCCTTGACAGAGGCAGAGCACCGCGCTACCAACCTGATAAAGAGACCATAGGCGTAAACGCCAGCGCCAAGGTTGCCGAGGAAGAGGCACGGATTCACATGCACATCTACAACTCCCAGACCTGGAAGAAACGCATCGATCGCGCATGCAAGATGACCAAGAGTATGGTGGAGGACTTCCGCGAGGTCTTTTGGGGCGGCAACCATCTACCTGACGATATTGAAGAGACGGAAGATATCCTCGATGTGCCTCACAGGCCCGCGCTCATGTCGGCACTGGTATCCGATCTGCACCTGACTATTGACAAACCCACGTTTGCTCTCCAG